AGATCATCACCTAGAGCCGTTTGCGTATGCACAATGTTTCTTGTTTGTACTTTCGCCTGCAATCACAGTTTTCTAAACACCTTTGTCATAAGACACAGATTGTTGCATCGCAGATGAAACAATTCCTCCCCGAAAGCAGGTCTGCCTCTACCTTGCACATAAACGTTGTACGCTGGCATTTTGGTCTACGTTTGCCGTGTTTTGGCTCTCAGGAGTGCAGCTCGCATACTGTAGTATGTGATGTCTGCTCAGCTGCTCGTCTAACAGGGCGAACCTCCTTTTCTCAGTCTCCACGTCTACGGAAGAGGGATTCCTATTCCTATTGGGAATGGGAAAGAGTCGTACCTTATGCAATCCTGCCATTTAACCTCCATTATGCGGCAAATCCAACCTGCCAACCTGCTCCTATCACTCAACCGTCGTTCTTGTTCCTTGTGTCGAACAATTGTCTGTATGGCGCGCAACGGCATTAACCTCACCGAAGCAAGATAAGGGAGGATTTTTGTGGGAAAGATTACTGCCTTCTCTGCCCGAATATCGATCGCACTAGAAGCTAGGACGATCTTATTCCTTAACCCTGACTGGATATCGCCGTAGCTGGGCATAGCGGAGCCGAGATCTTCAACTTCGTCGACCTCCTCGCTGTTACTCCTAGTAAAGTTACAACAAAAAAGCTGATTGATCCATTGATCGCAGCATAGTGTACAGGATAGCACTTGAATCGGCTGTTACCGTGTTGATCAAAGTCGTCTAAGATTTTGCATCAGTCCCCTCCCGTCACTGTGATAAGCGGATTCCGTTGGTAGGTCCACTGTGACCACCTTTACAGACACTCTTAGGTCCCACTGTAACAGTTATGCCATAGAGCGTTTTGATGAATGCGAGTAGCCATTTGTCGAGTGTCTTATCAACGGCGTGTCCTTTACACACGTTGTGTCCTTTCCGAGTGTCAGTCCGTGCTTTAACGCACGAAGGCCACCAAATTTCCCTCTAAACAATTCGATTTTGCATTGTAAAGTTGAGGTTGTCGATGATCGACTCGGCTTCAGCTACACTAAAACAAAAATTACATCTGCCACGACTTGCACGATTGTCACTGGCCTCCGTTCATCGAATCAGCAAGGCCATCTTTGCATCGAAAGATCCGCTGAAGCATAATATTCTGGCAGAGAAACGTAAGTGTTCATTTAATTTCCACAGCAGTGTCTCAATTTCAATTTGTCGCGTACAGCCGTTGCAGTCTCAGATTAATCTTGAATTGTCTTCAATTAACCGTCACTTATCATTATCTCCGAGTAGCTGCCAATGCGTTTCGTCTGATCACTAACTTTGTCAGTTTTCATGATGCATAGAAGTGTAATAGATAGGACAAGTTTTCTCAGCTTGACTGTATCGTGAACATAGGCTCGTGGGAGGACTTAAATGCAAATCTGTTTTTCTAGAACATTCCCGAGCTATATAATAGCTAAGTAAGTGATGAATGATCAGAGCAGCTAGCAGTGACAAAAGCACGCACTTCGACGCTGTCGTACGACTGACGGTGGTGAGTGTTTAGGACAATTTGATTCTTTTCTCTTAAAGTACAATTTCGTTCAGTTAGCGGATCTAGAGTCTAGAGTTTCGCTCTGCTGCCATATGACAACGGTGGTCCCAAACCGTTGCAGAAAGTCCAGTGCACTGGTTTCACCTCAGATGAAACTGGTGGCTGAAGTAGGCAGAATCGTGGACACCACCTCATCGAACGGCCAGAATTTGCTTTACCGAACTTCTCAGAACATGGCGAAGTCGTAGCGATGGCAAGCTCACCCATTTAGGGCGGGTTAAATCTCAAATTTGATCAATCGGTAGTTGGGATTGGGCAAGTATTCGCATGTTGGACAATCAACGGATACAGTACGAATCGAAATGAACGGTTCTTAAAGGAACTGGGCACTCAGCAAGCATTTTTCTACAACGTACAATCGCGAAACTACGCCACTTTTGGTCACGTCGTGAGGAGGATCTGTAACTCTCTGGAGAATACGGTGCTACACGGTTTGACTCCGGGATCCTTTACAACGGACAAGGCGACTTGATTCACGGGCAGAACGAAAAATCGTCTACGCCAGAAAATCGCACAAGACCAGAAGATGCGACGCCGGATAATATATCACGTTTTCTGCCGTCTGAGCAAACAGTGACAACTGAAGATGATGATTATACTCATACCATCACTCTGTGGCTTGAACCTAATTAGCCATTATGACTTGAACTCTGATCAATGCTGGCATTCCCTTGGCACCGCGGCTGATTTCCACACAGACGTTGTCACATACACCAGTCAGGATGCAAGTTAAATGGCGGATCAATAAAATGATATAACTAAGTTTGCCGTGCATCCCCAAATGCAGATGTTGTCGTCTTTTGCTTAGAGCGTGTATACATGAATGGCGTTGATGAAGAAGAGACTATGTTTATTCGATTAGCAAAAAAGGTTCGCTACTAGCACGCAGCAGTATTTATGACAAACCACTGGGACCATTCGAGTCATTTGGACCGTCCGGTCGGTCACAACACACACCCCGGTCCCCCATTCTTAGCGGTTTCGAACCTTATCTCTCATATCTTGGCTTTCCTGATTGCTGATATAGTTTTCCTACTGTCGTCGGGGCTTAATTCGCCGGCGAGGGTACCAGTCCACGATCATCGTCGACTCTCTCCCATCGGTGAGCAGAGCTTTTCTCCCGGTCTACCGTAGCTTCTCCTCTGTGCTTTCGATGACTACCTTCACTACCGTCCGCTATCTGACCCCAGTTTTGAGGATGTGGTAACGATGTGAAAGTTTCAACATTCTTCCCTCCATGGCTCTCCCGGTGACAGGTGGCTGGCGCTCTTCGACTTTCGTGAGTGATTATGTTTCGGCTAAATAAAATTGCCAGTAATACGGTAGAACTGAAAGGCTGGACGCGGGCTTCTTCCCTGACGTTCATGAGAGGAATGTGCTTGATGCAACGGAACGTGCGCCAGCTGGTCATATTTCTTCGTTGGATCCATGGCTGCTGAGCCGGATCATCGCCATGTTGCTCTCTTGGCCCGGTTAAATGTATTCATCGACTTCTTCGATCTTTTCGCAGTTCAATAGTTACCTGCGTGTTCGGCACAGAGCATCCGACCGATGTGTCTTGACGACTGATCATCAGTCCTGCTTATGCAGTGCATCTCTCGGGTATTGCAGCTTACGAACGTTTTCCGCAAACATCACCACACCGTCAGCGAACCTTACGTGGCTGAACGGTTCACCATCGACGTTAACCCAGCCCTTCCAGTGAATCCTTCGCAAAACCATTTCGAAACAGGAAGTGAAGAGTTTTAGGAGATGATGAACGAGTACCGCTGTTCTGTGCCTTTTCGTGAGGGAATCCGGACCGGTATCGAAGAGCGTAACGTTTGTACAGCAGCCAGAGCTCACCCTATGTGACAGATTCTTGTGACTGGTGCCGGTCGATGCCGTGGTCTGCCAGTGGTCTGCAGTCCACATTGCGTCGTACTCGACAGTGCATCGAGCGCTTTCTCACAGTCGACTAAGGCAATGCACCGACGGCGGCGAAGTTGGCATTCCCTCGCGTTCTTGAGGAATTGATTTAAGGTAAAGATGTTATCCGCTGTGTTCCAGCTCCTTCGGAATCCTGCCTGTTCTCTTGGCTTGTGTTCGTCCAGACTTGCTGACAGTCTGTCTGTTGTGATCACACTGGACAACTTAAAAATCTGTTAGAACAGACAGGTTGAGCGATGAGAGTTCTACAGATCCGCTTTCTCGGCCTTCTTGCACTGCAAACTGCTTCTGACTTCTTCCAGCTTAGTTTAGTGTTACTGTTTCTAGGTAGCAGTAAACCACATTGCTAGAACGCTCCACAACGCTGACCACCTGCTTTGATCAATTCAGTTGTCACTGGGACTCTTCCTCCACGCATCCGCTGCGCGGCATGCCGAGCTTCACTTATGAAGACTGAAATGCACTCAATTCTGGCTTTTGGAGTCTTCAATGCAAAGGGCTGGGTGTAAACGTTCTTGCATATGGACATCATTTCAGTCCTGTCAGGAGCCTATGCACTATCCTCCTTCTTCAACGCCGTGATGATCGACCGATTTCGCGTTAACTCTCTCCTGCATTGTCTGAACGCCCTGCAGGCTTCCACCGTCTCCTGTAATTTTCGCTGTCGTAAAGTCTCGAAGCCTTACTTTAACTTCCATCCGACGAGTTTGCTGAGGTGAGTATACTCCGTCGCGTCGATCCAATCCCTCTTTATCCTCCTCCGCTTCTCTAGCACGATTTTAGTCGTTTCTGACATCCGTCGCTTCGCTCTCTTTGAGGTTACTACCTCGGCTGGCTTTGCTCAGCGCCTCAGCCCTTTGGCGAACTTCTTCGGATTGTCGTCGAAGGAGCCCTTGAAGCAGCGGTTTTCGCTGGATATGCGAATTTGTAGCACCGCCTCGTCGGAAACCTTCGGTCGTTGTCGGTAATTTTCCATGTGCAGTGCCTTCCTCTCGATCTTCTCCTCGACGGTTAGCCTGGCCCTCACCGGTTTGTCATCACTTACGACGCTAAATGATGGCTCTGCTCTTACTTGTCGGTTGATACAGCGTCTATCAAATGGAGGAAGTCGACTCATTCTTTGTCGCCGTGTTGTGCGCGATTAATTTCCACCTCCTGTTGGACTTCTCATCGAATCAGGTATTGCCAATGCAGAGGTGTTTCTTTGCTGAAATGGTCATCTGCTGATCTCCTCGCTCATTTCGCTCTCCGGTGCCGCAGCAACCGACGACCTTGCTCCAGTTTTTCCTCGTTCGACGTTGGCATTGGAGTCTCCCATAACGAGGGCATACCTTCACTTTGGGACCAATGCCTGTTCCTGTTCTTGGTATAATTATTCCACTCACTCTTTGTCGGCTCCAGTTATGGAAACAAAGGATCGGACGATCTTCAAGGTAGTCCTTTCGCTCAGCTGAGGCACAGAGCGCCGGATTTTGGTGATTTTACCGCCCCTTGCTTCTCGTCATCAGGAGAAACCATTTAAGCTGACTATGGCTCCATCGTATTTACGTGCCCGCGGTGCACAGGTCGCATAGACCGCGTCACTGAGTCAGAACACGTCAACTCGTGGCTGTGGCGGGAGCAAAACGAATGCTCTCTCCACCTAAGGCTTATTAACCTGCAAGCGTTACGAATCATCCTAAAACAGAGATGCGATCATGCATACAATGTATTGCAGATGCTGAAGTTTAAAAACTTCGAACTCAGAAATAAGGGAACGGTCATTCACGCATGGTAAATCCGGCATCAGAAATTGAAACGCTATGATTTCCAGCGGAATTCGAAAGTTACAGTGTGGTAACTACTCAATAATGGTTTGACCTTATACGGTACAGTGAGGTATCATTCCGTCTATCTGGTCTGTTAATAGAACCCTTGATTTTCTTTAATATTTTGCATCAACTTCAACTTCCTGAACCACAAAAAAATCATCAAAGTAATCCCAACCGATCAACGCTGCAAAGTCTGTAAACGCAATTCGACTATGTAGGCTATAAGCAAAAAATGAAATGCCTGCATTTGGGAAATGACGATCATCTGAGTTATACCGGAGCATCGGGGCTGCGTTCTGTTAATATATCTAATGTCGGTCAGTGGCAAGTTTAGTTGGTGGTTTAACTGAACGGTTTGGCCTTTGTTCAAGCCGACTCACGGATGAGGTCCTGCATTCAATCCACTGCAAGTGTTCAAATGCCGTGGAATCGTGGCCTACTTAAATAGCTGACCTTGAAAGCTATGAGAAAGCATTTATGCTGAGTAAATCCGGTATCAGAAATTGGAATGTCAAATAATTCGATAATGCTGCAGGACCTGCTTTACGTTCATTCTGTCTCATGTGAATAAAGATTTCATTTGCAAGTAAATCATTCTGGAAACTTCATCTCCTAAGCATTTCGTTACGGGCCGTACAATGCATTGGCTATGATGTGAATCGATCAGAAGGGTTGAAAAACAATGGCATACAACAGGAAAGCCCAATTGTTGCTGTTTGACAGTTTGACAATGTAAAACTAAAGAGGCTACAGAGGTAGAACAAGCGCTTTGTTGGAGAGGAGCAATGACCATGATACATCTTAGAAATCCCTTGTGACAGAAGAATGCATTCGCCGAAGTGTTCAGTATCAGCAGTAAACCGCGCGAGGCTGTACGCTAAGCAGAGCAGCGAGAGGGGGCATAGCAACTACAGCTTCAAGATATGCAACAGCAGCATCTATGTTTATTCAATGCGACCAATGAGAAAAACGAAAGAGGACGAAATTCGAATGAAACTGTTCACCTGCACATCAATTAATGGCAATCAAAAGCGGGCCACACCCCAAAGGAAACGTTCAAATGTTCGAGATGTGTTAGGCGTAGGGACCACGAAGATGAAACAAAGCAATGATGTAAACAAAGAAACAATGAAATAAAATTTTAGAAGATCATTTTAAAAAATAAGAAAGCAGTTCTTAAAGTATTTAAATCAGCAAAAGCCGGCATAAGCGAGTTTTAATCGCATTAAAATATCATTATTGAAGCATGAGTTGCCGATGCGAGTAATAAAGAGCTGTTCGATCCAACCGTCGCGCCCGCCAT